TGAAGTTGCCTAAGGGTAAGAGAGCCTTAGAGAATAGGTGGATTTTTAGGGTGAAGCAAGAGAATAAATCTACATTTACCAGATATAAAGCCAGATTAGTGGTGAAAGGCTTCAGACAAAGAAAGGGTGTTGACTTCAATGAGATTTTCTCACATGTGGTAAGGAAGACATCCATAAGAACTGTGTTAAGTATAGCTGCTACTCTAGATTTGGAGGTTGAGCAGATGGATGTGAAGACAACTTTCCTTCATGGTGATTTGGAGGAAGAGATTTACATGAAGCAACTAGATGGTTTTCTTATTGAAGGCAAGGAAGACTATGTGTGTAGGCTACGAAAAAGCCTATATGGTTTGAAGCAGGCTCCGAGGTAGTGGTATAAGAAGTTGGAGTCTGTTATGTGTGAGCAAGGCTACAAGAAGACTACTTATGACCATTGTGTTTTTGTCACGAAATTTTCTGAGAATGATTTCACTATACTGTTGTTATACGTTGATGACATGCTTATTGTTGGGAAAGATGTATCCAAAATTGACAGGTTGAAGAAACAATTGGGCGAGTCATTTGCCATGAAAGACATGAGAGCTGCTAAGAAGATTCTTGGTATAAGAATAACTCGTGATAGAAAAGAGAAGAAACTTTGGCTATCATAGGAGCACTACATTCAGAAGGTGTTGCAAAGATTTCAAATGGAAAATGCTAGAGTTGTAAGTACTCCTTTTGCTACTCATTTTAAATGGAAAATGCAAAAGTGTGTAGTGTTGTCTACTACTGAAGTAGAATTCAATGCACTTACAAAAGCATGTAAGGAGTTGTTATGGGTGAAGAAATTTTTGCAGGAGCTTGGTTTTGTGGAAGGTAAATACTTGTTGTATTGTGACAATCAAAGTGTTATTCATCTTGGTAAAAATCCAACTTTTCATTCTAAATCCAAACATATTGATGTGAGGTATCATTGGATATGTGATGTTTTGGATGCTAAAATGTTGGAATTAGCTAAAGTTCATACAGATAATAATGGTGCTGATATGATGACCAAGGCATTGCCAAGAGGAAAGTTTGAAGTTTGTTCTGAGATTGCCGGTTTGGCGCATATCTCCACAAAAGTCATGAGGGGGAGATTTGTTGGGTTATTGGGCTCTCTTCCTATGTGAAGAATAGACCCAAATAATGTGTTTGTTGTTGGGTTATTAAGCTTCTCCCTCAACAGTCACTAGTTTACCATTTGTTGTTTGTTGTTTGTTGTTGTGTCTCTTTTACAATAATTATTTCTATAACATATACAAATGTAGATGTTACATGAGGAAAGGATACTAGCCAATAGGTTGAGTGTGGTGGTATAAGGTTTTGGAAGTAATGTATATAGATGTGTAATATGGTGTAGGTTGTTAGTCTTATATTGTATTTTTAAGGAAATAGTAACTTATATATTTTAAAATTATTTTATATGTGAAACAAGTATAATTATGTTTATATACATTTTTTTTCTATCCATATGTTTTTGTTTGCTCAGTACTCAAATTTAGAGATTCTAAAATAGTAGAAATAATTTATTTTTATGGATTGTTATAATATTGATGATGAAACATTTAAAAAATGTGAAACACAAAGAGAAATGTAACCGTGGAAAGTTTCAGTTATTTTGGATTTTTTTAATATCACTTAATTAATAAAAATATAAAATGTTTTTTACATTATAACTTTTTTATACCCGCCGCTGAAGAGAAAAATTACGGATTCATCAGCGACTTATTAGTATGAGGGAATTTGACTTGATTTTCTCAGCAAAAAAGTAAAGTAAAAATGAAAGTTGTTTTAGAATTTGAATTTCAGTTTATATTATTTCTCACGGTCTTACAATTTAGTGTAAGTGTGTCAATTTATATGCAAGTGGCTTGGTTGAAAAAAAAAAAGTGAAAAAAAAACTTCATTAAATAAAATAAAGTAAAATCATTTTTAAATAAGAACTAATTTAATCATAAGCAAATATTAATGTAGTTATTATTAGTATTTTTATTTTCTTTTCGTTTTTAAATTATCATTAATTTCTTATTTTAAATATTTCTTATTTTGATTATTTCTTATTTTCATTGGTGTTAGTGTTGCTATACATGGGAATATTAAAAAAAATTGGAAGTTTAAAAATGGTAGTGAAAATTAAATATATTAATTTCTAAACTTTATTGGATGGAAATTAAAATAATATATTTAAACAATACCAAAATTTAATAATTTTTTAAACCAATAAAAAAAGTAAGGTACAATGAACAAACAAGTTGTACTTGTCAATGGAGAAGTTGTGGGTGGGTCAAAATGAAGCAATATCCCTCACTACAAGATTTGACTACTAAAGGGATTGAGTTGGCTTTCCACCCAACTTTTTTATGCATAAACTTTTCTAAAACAACATTTTTTAATTTACACTAATTTATAACATTTTTCATTCCATATTTATTTTTTCAAAAACTTGTCATAGCCGACTCAACATTTTAAAGCAATTCAAAGATTGAATCAAATGTGCTAAAGCCAAAGAAACACTTACTTTTTGCATTATGTGTAGATTATAAAACTTACTTTTTGCATTGGATTTAATCATATAATGGTAAATATAAATCTTATAATGAATGATATTTTTGTGTTTTGGGAAAATATTCATACCCCACATGAAGAAAAACTCCAATTCTCCTATATAAATAAGGGAAAGATTATCAAAATCAAGTAATTAGCTTAAGAGAGTCATGAAACTAATTATTCAGCAATTTCACCATCAAGTTACTCAAAACTGGAAATTTCAAGAAAAGATTGAACCTTGAGGAAACAATTTCATCATGGTCATTGATTGGATGAGGGATTTGGATCTATAGTAAAATAACATACCTAACTTTGCTATATGAGTTTGTTTGACAAAAGTCATAGTTTTTCATTAAATAATTGTTATATTCAACATCTGTCATTAGTGGTGTTCTGAACATGTGGTGTACCATAGATGCTATCAAATGAATAATGGTTTAAAGACTTAGTCATACCAAAAGAACATTCACATTTTTTCCCCCTTTTGTCAATATTAATATATATTTTTTTATAAATATTGTATTTATCAAAATATAATGAACTTTGACTTCCACAAATTCCCGTCATTAAATGTTAATTAACAGCCTAGTTATTGATTTTTCATGTCCTATGGTACAAGGAAACCCTAGTAGCTGGAGTGATGTGTACAGTAATAATAATAATTATAATTGTCTTTCTTTTGATTAAAGCTTAAGGCTATTGTTTTTCTTCCCAGTTTTGTTGAGTATTAATAACAAATGGATTATATGTGTGTGTGTGTGTTTTCTTAAATAGTGTCCTTAAGATCTAGTTAATACTTTTTTGTTTCCTTCACTACTTCACTACTTGGTCAATGTATTTGAGTTGTTGTACTATGACAACATTTAATATGAAAATTTTGATTAATGAAATGATTGTAAAAGCTTATTTCAATGCCAAAATTGTTACAAAAAGTTGACTATAAACAACCACGTTGAGTTTGATTGTTTGAGCAATGATTGTAAAAGACTCAATGTTCAACCAATTGCATTAAAATGAAATCACGACTTCTATACTTTTTGAGTTATTAATACTAAAGTGGTTAATACAAAGATTATTTCTGTCAAATTTGTTAAATGGAAAAAGTTGTTATTGAAAATACAACTTCTATTTAAGAAGTCAGGTTTTAGATATAAAAGAAATTAAAACTACCCATTTTTGTAAATTTTTAATTAAATTACCCCATTTTGGTGGAAAGGTTAAAAGTAACCCTATGTGTCTTATTTATTGTTAGGGAATAAATAAATAAAAAAAATCTTAAGAGATGGATGTAGTACTTTGGACCCAGAGACCTCTTTTTGGCATTTTCTTTCTGCACTTCATAAATTTTTCCCTGCACCTCCAAATAAAAAGAAAAATCCTTTCTTAATCTTTGTCAGATTATATGATATAGAAGTCATTTTGGAAAGTAAAAATGGACTTTCAAATGCTATAATCCGAAACATAAAAATGACTTCTTAATTGTACAATTCGAAAACTGTTCTGAATTGTATAATCCTAAAATTATTAAAAAAAGATTTCTGAATTATATGATGCTAAATTTATTTTTGATTTGTGGATTATACAATTTTAACTGATCCAAAAAGGAGAAAAAGGAAACATTTTTATATAAGGATGAGGGATAAATTTATGGAGGTGCAGGAAAAATCTGCCCTCTAATCTTAGTTTTCATTTCTATATATATCTTTAGGAATCCTACACATTAAGTTATCTGCAGTGTTATACGAGTGAGTGAGTCCATTACTAATTAAAAAAAAGAGGATTGAAAATGTTTGCATTTTGCCTAGCCAATGAAGGAAAACAATTTCTCAATAATGAGCAAGACCAACATAAATGTAACTTTACTTGGGAACATCATATTTTGGCCAGGAGAAAAACAATACAAATAAAACAAAGGCTTAACCCCCTTGTAATACAAATTTTAGAAACAGCTTTCTGTCTCTAAAATCTGGTTGTTCCTTCTGTATTTGGAAATGTTGGTCCCATAATTCAGTATAATACCAAATTAAAACGTAAATCCTTTGAACTCAAGACAAAATTGAGTTTTGTAGAGCATAAGACCCAGATATTCAATCTAATGCAACAGTTCACAAAAACAACCAGCCTAGAATTCGCAGTTCACAGTTTCTTGTCGCTGCTACCTATACATTATATTCACGCATCTAAGACAAAAATAACAAAAATAATTTGTTCTGTTATTTATGAAGATGCTGATTAGGAAGCAGGTTAATGATTAAACAGGGCAGGGGGAAAGACAAGGATACCCCAAAAACAAAAGCAGACAAGACTGATCTGTTATTAATGATAAAAATGAATACTTGTCTAGACTTAATGTAGAATGTATCATCATTATATTCTAGCTGGAAAATATTACCTATATTTTATCAAAAAATTACAAATACATAAAGCTTTCCTTGAACCAACAACTGTATAATTCTTCCATCTTCATAAATTGAGGTACAAAACAGAAACCCTTTGTTTACAAATTGAAGATAACACAAACAAAAACAACCAATGATACGGCATACAATACAGTGATCAAGTGTACATATACAAATTTACTTGTGCATGTATCTATTCTATGTGTAGCAATATCATTATGATATATGGGTGGGATGGAAAACTCCCGTAACTAAACTTAATTTATAATTTGTATCTTTCTGGATAAATTTACAATAGTATTAATCACTAATCATCATTAGCACTAGAAGCATCAGAAGACAATCGCTGCTTACGAGCTCGCGCTGTTAAGCCAGCAAACCAAGCAACCCTCATCAACTGCAGACCGACAATTAGCACCCACCAGCAGACCAGTGCCCTAATTGTATGCATCATCCATGCCGGTGCATTGAGCTCAACTCCGAGCTTCAATCCCCTCATTAGTTGCAAGACACGGTAAGACTCATAAATTACAGGGGTAACCAGCCAGACTGGTGATTGCCAATGCCAAGTCAACATCTCTGTCAGAAACTGTACTGACAAAAGAAGAAGATAGGGACCGAGTAGAACTGCAAACGGGATGAAAGGTAGTTGAGGTTGGAGAAAGCCCTTCTGAGATCCAAACATCAACAACAATGGGATAATAAATCCAGTAAGAGTTGCAACAACATTCCAGAACTGGTAACTGAAGGGAGCCTTGCTTTTGCATTCTTCTGTTGGATACTTCGGCCGTGAACAAGCATCAGCCATAAGGAGAAAAAGGGATGCACCAAGGTTAAATAAGCAATCAAGTCCAATTAAAGAAAGCAGGCTGGCTATATTGGGGCCGAGAAAGATGGAAGATATTGGTAACCACAATGTTGGGACCATGCCAGTTGCAAGGAGAACAGAAGGACCCAGAAGCCACAACGGCCATTTGAAAAACTGAAGCTCCAGGCTTGGCTCAGACCTTGTCTCTACTGCCCCTTCAGCATTCGCTGTTGATGAGTCAGCAGTTTTACTAGATTCAAGAGTTTCAAATATATTGGCGCTGTGAGGCAAAAATTTATCACTTTGATTATCAGTAGGAGCATATGTGACAGATGATGACTCCCACGGGGTTAACTTCGTGCACCGTACGCGGGATAGGTTAATGTGAATACTAGGAAAGGCGGATCCTGGGTGTTGGAATAGTTTTCCCGATTTCAATAATCCTTGGTTTCTAGGATTCACCCTTCTGAAAGTAGAAGTATGTACTTTATAATGAACTTGAGTTAATGAAGCCATTCCTGAATTCATTCTTGACTGCTGACACTCTAAAGGGTTTAATGCTCTTTGTTGTCTTGCACCTGAATAAGACAGCAAACACAACACTGTTAAACTCCAAAAATCAAGATATCGTGGACTGTAGGAGTAAGTGAGTAATGTAATAAGAAAGCATACATCACCAACTTCGATGCCACCTTAAAAAGAGAGTGTGGAAGTCTAACAATTTAAAAGGAAAATCAAATAAAAGTTAATCAAGAGACCTGAGCAACATTAATTGCAGGATCTCGGCCACCTTGGACTATTCAAACAGTACTGTTCTCAAAAATGAGATTGGGACACATTCCGTTACACCACATGTCCTACGATATTCAAATCTATTTTCAGTTTCACTTGTATTTTCTTTTCTCACCAATTCTTAACAAGGAAAAAAGAAACAGTGGACGTTGTACTTCAAGTGTAACAGATGCAACAAAAGTGAAAAACAGAAACTTAGGTAGATTTCAAGAGTAATAGTCATATAAATTGGTGAGAGTTTAAACAAATGAACTATTTGATAAGACAAACTGATAAAGCTGGAAGTGTGGACAAGATTTACAGGGCAGGCCCAAGATTTGGAGAGTGCATGGTAGGAAGAACCAAGGTGTGAAAAAAGCAGATGTAGTGGGTGTAACTGAATTACCAAATGCGGGAGGCAGTATTTGGGCTATATAAGGAATGCAATGTATAGGAAAAAAGAATGACATCCAGAATTTTGGGAGAATTCAATTATGGGCAGAGGGCATTAGCATCTCCTAGGAGCTCAGCTCCAAGACAGGATTGGTTTCCTTCTGTATTTACTTTCTGTTATTGAATAATACAAACAGACCTGATTTACACCTGCATTATTCCTGACCAGAGAAACAAAAGAACTAGTACAGGCGCAAAAAAGGGGCTTTTCGCACTAATTCAATAATAGAAAGTAAATACAAAAGGAAATCAATCCTATCACCACAGGTCCGAGCCTCCTACAGAGAGGCTTATGCCCTCTGCCCATAACAGAATTCTCCAAACTTCTAGCTGCCACACTCTCTCCTAAACATTCCCTATATACATCAAAATCTGTCTCACACATTTGGAAATTCAGTTACACCCATTGCCAGAGCCACCTCATCTCCTCTTTTCACAACCCGTTTCCTGCTATCATACATCTCCAAATCTTAGGCCGCCCTGTAAGTCTAGGCCCCCACTCCCAGCTACATTGCAAACAAAGAAAACCACATGGAAGTCTTTTATATGGTACAGGTGTCGGTTTACTAAAATAGAATTGAATCAGATCAGTAAGTACAAGCAGTTGTTGATATACATCTCATTAGGCAATATCAATAGTTGTCTAAATTATCTATTAGTTCTTTTCAATTTTTAACAAACCACTCAGCTCAAATTCCAAACCTGTAAGCTAAAATGCTGAAATACAAAACAAGTCAGCCCAGCATGAACTAATCACTAGGAAGCTGTAAATTTTCAAGATTTTAATCTAGTTTCTCAGTGATTTTAGTCAGCTGAAAAGAAAATTAAGTTTACTGTGATATATTTCTATTCAGCTAAAATATCAAAGTAGTTGACCATTTCCACGAAAAGCAGTTCATATCATAAAACATTTTCTTGTCACCAATGGCAAACCAAAACTACCGAAGTTGAAGCACAATATGGCATACTTAGTTTAAGTTAGCTAGAATTATCTGAATATAAAGATTTCAGACATTCAAAGTTTAAACTTGCTGGGATTTATGCCACCAGTATACTCATTCGTTTTCAAAATCCCTATTATTTAAGGGTCACCAGTTGCACTCGAAAAACAAAAGTGGCACTAGGTAAGAAAATCTTTCATTCTTAACTAAACCACTTTACTGGAAATGAGATTATTAATAATTTGTTGGATCAAGTGTTTACCATTAAGCAAAGAATTATAATTAATAGTTAGGACACAACTTTTTGTACTTATATAACAACTCAAAACTAACAATTTGAACATGACTTGAACTATTAAACCTTTGCCATAGGAAAATTTATGCAACTCGCTACAAATATGATTATTGTCCCTACAAGTACGCTTATTTTATTCTATAAAACATTAGAAACTTTTATACCTATCCCAATTTCCCAACAATGTTCAAACATTGCTTGTCCACAAAGCCACATTTGGGCAATCACACAAGGACTAAATACTATAAAATAGTTCTGTTTGTACAACAAACAACAATAAAAGTCTTTGTCCACTAAGTCAACTCGACTACATAGATCAAATATCAATAAATAATTCCAATTGTATACCAATAGAAAGAATTGAAAACGAAATTAAAAACGAAATACATTAGGCAGAGATACCTAAATGACAAACATAAGGTTACCAAAGAAATGGACTGTCTTCTTGGCTTTCTAATGCCATCATTTCATTTGGGTGGTCTAATGTGAATCTAAACACACTGATATAACTAGAAACGAAACTGAATACCTAAAAGTCTACACCTTTCGAGAACAAGGGAGTATCCAAAACAAAAAAATAAAGCGTACTAAAGGGTCAGGGTATCGTGGAAACCACCCTCCATTGTTTTAACTTTCAATCACGAATTAATGTCTTCTTAAATATTTTGATATGATTTCTTAAGAATAAACTAAGCGGCAATTCATGTATTGATTTGTTTTAACTAATTTCAGATTATAGAATATTTTGTAATTATGAATAATAATTATTATAAATATTCTTAGCATTATTTATAGGTGAAATAATAATAGTGAATGGCATCAAGCCATTTAAACATTGTAAACAAAGAAAAATTATACATATGATTCCCTCGGCTCTATTGATTCACACATCTTTCCACAAAACACTTCAAAGAGAAAAAACCAATAGAAGAAACTTCAAATTATCTTCTAAATAAGTTAAAATTAACTTATACCTAAACTAATTTATGCTAATTTCAGTTTCCAAATAAGCTTTCTTTTTCTTATTTTTCTCTTGTGCAGAGGCTATAAACTTTACAACAACCAAGTCTATCAGGATATGCCCTAATTCTTCGACCTTGATACAGTTAGCACCTAATCGAGGGCTTTATATAACATGACTAATTTAATTCCAACAAGAGATGAACGAAAATAACAAAATCTCGACGACCAGACAGAGAACAAAATAAACGGCGAAAAAAGTAGGATGAAATTGAAACGTGAGAAAATGGAGAGTGACCTTTTGTTGAAGCGGGTGGTTGAAGCGGGTGGTTGAAGCAGGGGCTTCGATTCAGAGGAACATTCTCCTTCTGAAGTTATCGCTTATCAGGTTTTACAATTACTCTAACACAAATGTGGATCTAAATAATGCTACCAAAAATAAATGTATAATTGATTATATTTTAAAATTTGAATTTAACGTTATTTTTAATCTTCTTAATTATTCAATTTAAGAAGATCCTTTATACATATAGAAATAAAAAGAAAATAATAGCTTAAGCGAATTGTGAGAAAACATTTGTGGTTAATTAGACAAGTTGGAAAATCACATCCAAATGTAAGAATAAAGTCTCTTTGTAATTTTAATGATTAGTTAATTTTATTTATTAATTAACGACATTATACTGTCATTAATACATTAATTGTAATTATAATAATTATAATTATATTATTATTATTATTATTATTATTATTATTATAACAATGATTACTATAACTATGTGGATTACTATAACTATGAGAATATATTTTTTTATACACAATTTTTATTTGTATTTTATTTTTTATAATATAATTATTAATTGATTTTTAGAAATAATTCTCTTTGAAATATTTTGTATAAAATTGTCACATATTTTTCTTTTATTTTATTTTTTGTTTGTTTACGGTTAACATTCATGTACTTCTTAATATTCTTGTTATTTTTTTCTATATGATAAGTTAATCAATTTATATGTATTATTAACTTATAATATAACATAAATATTTAAAAAATACTGAGATACAGACACGTATGGGTTTATGATAATAATTCATAAAGAGAAATGCTATTAATATGGTAATATATTTCTATTATACAAAAACAATAAACTAATTAGTGTGGAAAGATTCAAAACATCTTTTGAAAAAAAAAGATAATCAAAGATTAATATGATTGAGAATATGCTACCAATCAAATAAAAATATATATGCGCGATTCGATTGGAAAGGAAAAAAAAACAAAATCAAATCAAACTATTTTTTATAATTCGGTTTGGATAAATATTTTGCAATTTTTTATTTTTAATTATAATTTTTTATTAAATATTTAGTAATTTTTTCATCTTTAAATTAAAATATAACAATAAAATATATAATACTCAAAATTTGATAAATGTATTAAATCATAATATAATAAAAACATAAGATTAAATATTTAAAATAATTAAAATTTAAAATTATGTATGTTTTTTTTAATATCAACAAATATAAAAAAAAATTAAGATAAAATTAAAAAACAAACATAAAATATAAGAATGTTTTAATATGTTAAATCTAACTAAATGTAATAACTAATTAGACTTAACATTATAGTTCTCGTAATGGTATTTGTCAAGTTTTAAAAACATATAAAATATAATAATTAATATAATTAAAAAATATACAAAAGTAATTAAACATAGGAGGATGTCTTGCACAACCTCTTCGATATTTATTCACCATAGGAGGGGATGGACACTAATTTTGTATACAAATAATATGAAAATAGTCTCAAAAACAACTGTAAACATGCATAACCAAGTCTCTAATAATTTGACAAAGAAATAGCATATTCATTAAAGTTTACTTTCCACCACATAAAAAAAGTTGCCACCTTATTTTATGTTAACATAACAAGAAAACCACGTATTATCGACACACATAATTTATCAATAGTAAAAATTTGTTGATAATTTTAATTTATAGATAAATTACATACAATAAAAAAGTCAACAATAAAATAGTCATTGACGACTTTTATAGATGGATTACATCAGTAATTACTAACAACAACATATTTATTGGTAAATATTAATCGATAGTTTCCAACAAATCAGGATTGTCAATAAAATTTATCGATAAATGTCACAATTAATTTTTTTTCCTTCCCTTTATCTCTTCTTTTTTCCTGTTTTCTTCGGCTTCCTCCTCTCCTTTTAATGAGGGAAGAGCCAAAAAATATAACAACTTAGAAAAAAGTAATAACGTAGTAGAAATTTAATCCCCCTTCTTGCGAGAATCTGCGAGGAGCACCAAAAAAATAGAACAAAAATAGAAACCAAAGCACAAAGAGACACCAATAATTTTTAACGTGGAAAACCCCTCAATGCAAGGGTAAAAACCACGAGTCGCCCAGACCAAAGAAAAAATCCATTATGATCAATAATGATAGCAAAAAAGATGATGCAGAGGAAAAAAATACTGATATAGAAAAGAGATATTATAGAGAAGATTAAACAAAGATTGTGTAAAGTAACGTAATGGAAAAACTATATCCGAGAAAGAAATACAATTGTTTATATATAGAGGTAAATGAAAGTTTAACAATAATAACGATATTAACTGTAAATGTGAAAACATTACAGCTTGAATTACAGTACTAATACACCTCCTTAATTCAGTGTTAAAACTCCAACTTCCGTTATGAGAAACTCAAACCTGGCAATATTAAGTGCTTTTGTAAACAAATCAGCTAACTGAATATCAGTTTTGCAATGCACCAGTTCAATCCTGCCTCTGTTAACCATATCTCGCAAGAAGTGGTATTTTACTTCAATATGTTTGCTTCTTCTGTGACTAACCGGATTCTTTGTCAAACTTATAGCAGAAGTGTTATCCATCTTCAATTCTACAGATCTTCCTGTTTGAACTTTTAATTCCATGAGCAACTCATTCAACCACACCCCTTGACAGCAGCAACACAACCGGCTATGTATTCTGCTTCACAACTGGATAAGGCAATGACAGTTTGCTTCTTGGAACTCCACGATATGGGTGCCTTGTTCAGAAAGAATATATTCCCAGATGTGCTTTTTCTCTCAACTTGATCACCACCAAAGTCAGAATCAGTATATCCAACTAATCTCAACTCTTCCTGCTTCATACCATAAGGAAATAGTATGCCATAATCTGAAGTCCTTTTGATATATCTAAGCATGCATTTGGCTGCAGTCATGTGACTTTTCTTTGGTTTGCACATGAACCTACTAATCAAGCCAACTCCAAACATTAAATATGGCTTGCTACTGCATAAGAACCGTAAGGATCCGACAAGTTGTCTATAATCAGTTTCATTTACACCTTCTTCATCTTCATCTATTTTCAGCTTCACATTAACCTCGAGTGGGCTTCTAGCATCATTACAACAAGTCATTTTGAATCTCTCCAATAAGTCCTTCACATATTTCTTCTGATGCATTATTAACCCAACAGATGTATGCTTAAACTTCATCCCTAAGAAGTAGCTAAGCCTCCCAAGATCTGTCATCAAACTCAGCTTTCATCATCTGCTTGAACTCATCAATTTCCTTCAAGCTTGAACCAGTCACCAACAAATCATCCACATAAAGACAAACAATCATCCTTTCTCTGCTAACACTCTCTTTCACATACAGACTATGTTCAACAACACACCTATTGAACCCGTGACTGAAAGAATGCATTAATCCTTTTGTTCCATGCCCTAGGAGCTTGTCTCAACCCATAGAGTGCCTTATGCAGTTTATACACCAAGTGCTTCTTATCTTCTTTGCTGAATCCTGGAGGCTGCTTAACATATACTTCCTCCTCCAAAGGACCATGCAAAAACGCAGATTTAACATCAAGTGAAAATAACATCCATTTTCTAGCACAAGCAATACTACTGACCTATCGAATTGTTTCTAACCTTGCTACAGGCGCATATACTTCTGTAAAGTCTACTCCTTGTCTCTGTAGGAATCCTCTTGCCACAAGTCTGGCTTTATGCTTTGATATTGTGCCATCTGGATTTAACTTTTTCTTGAAAACCCATTTCACTCCAATGCATTGTTTTCCGGGTTGCAATTTGACTAACTTCCGCGTATTATTCTTCTCAATTGATTTAATTTCTTCAATCATGGCTTCCTTCAAGATAGGTTACGCAAGGGCATCATCTACATCCAGCAGTTCACTTCCAGCCATCAAAGCCAAGTGAATGATATCACCCTCTTCATCTACTCCTGCATTTGAGTACATCTCGTATTCAGAGAACTTGGAAGGTCTTGTCGTTTGCCTTCTCGGTCTTCCTGAGACTTCTGCAGAATCTGCATCTCCAGTGTTGCTTTCAGAAATCCTTGTTGTATCAGTATCTACTCTATCCTGTTTTGATACATGCATCATAGTTGTCGTTTTCTTCAAGCTTGACTGATTGGAGTTCCAATCCCAGCTTTCGTCTTCAAGAACGATAACTTCCCTGATGATCGAAATCCTTCTCTTTACAGGATCAAAAAGCTTGCATGCGCCGGTTGAATGATACCCAACAAACACCATAGCCTCTCATTTGTCATCAAGCTTTGATCTCTTCTGATCTGCAATGTGACAAAATGACAAAGACCCAACAACTTTAAAATGATTTACAGAAGGCTTCATACCTGTCCAGATTGCATGTGGCACCTTGCTTGGCAACCTCTTCGACGGACACTTGTTGAGCACATAGACAGCCGTTGACATAGCTTCTCCCTACAACTCGTGTGGCACTTCCTTCTCTTTCAACAAACACCTGGCCATATTCATTATGGTCCTGTTCCTTCTTTCTGCCAAGCCATTGTGTTGAGGCGTATATGGTGCAGTTACCTCGTGTGCTATTCCACAACTCTGACAAAAACTCTCAAACTCAGATGACTTATATTCACCCCCTCCGTGTGTTCTAAGAATTTTAACTTGCCTTCTTGTCTCTCTTTATACGCTAACCTTGAATCTTCTAAACATTTCAAGAGCTTCACTTTTCAACTTTATGAGATATACCCATATCATTCTACTATACTCGTCAATGAAAGTTATGAAATATCTATTTCCAGCTAGCATTGGCACTTCCAGAGGTCCACATATATCTGAGTGTACAACTTCAAGTCGCTCTTTAGATCTCATTTTCAATTGTGCTTGAAACGGTCTTCTCGTTTGCTTCCCAACAATGCAGGATTCATATGATTTTTCTAGTATGATGATACCTAGCAATCCAGAAACCATAGTCTTCATGCTTAGCTTCTGTAGATCTTGAAAGTTGAGATGCCCGAACCTTAGATGCCATTTCCAGTTCTCGTCTTCTTTCATAGTAGACAAACACCGTAAATTTTCAACCATATCCATACAAACTTGAAATGTGTGACTTTTAGAGATTTTGCTTTTCAAAATCAATTTCTTGTTTTTATCAAACACTTCCACTTGATTATTGTTTCCCATAATCATTGGGAAACCCTTTTCTATCAATTGACCCAAACTCAGCAAGTTGCACTTCATTTCTGGCATAAACAGAACGTTCTCTATAGTCCCATGCAATCCATTCTTTTTCTTTATAATAACATTTCCAATTCCTTCTACTCTTAATGTTATGTTGTCTACAAATCTAACCTTGCTTTTCTTGGATTCATCCAGATTGATCAACCACTCTCTATTACACGTCATGTGATTTGAACATCCTGAATCTAAATACCAAGATTTATTCAACGATGCTGAGTCTTCTGGAAATGTTGTAACCATGAGAATTAACGGCTCTGAGTCTGATTCTTCCTTGGCAAGATGAAATTCCTTATGCTCTTTCTTGATTGGTCTATCTTTATTCAAATAACACTCATAAGCGAAATGCCTTATCTTATGACACGAGAAACATTCTATGTTTCTCCTGTCTTTCTTCTTATAGTTCTTCTTTGAACCACCTTTTCTCTCGGATGACTCGCTTCTGTCTTCTTGATCATCCAAGCTGTCATTGTTCTTCCATTTCTTTTGTGTTGCATACTTACCTTTCCAATTCTTATACTTCTTCTTTCCGTCTCCTCTGACGTGCTGGACCTTCAATGCTTGCTCATCAGTTTTGATAGGATCTCTTTCCAAAAGTCTAATCTCATGAGCCTCTAAAGAACTCTAAAGTTCTTCGATCTTTAACTCTGCAAGGTCTTTAGATTCTTCGATTGCAACAACAATGAAATCAAACCGTCTAGGTAATGATCTCATTATTTTCTCCATTATCATCAAATCACTGAGTTTTTCGCCGAAACATTTTATTTGATTGGTAAGACACACAATTCTATTAAAATACTCACTGACCTTGTCATTGTCCTCCATTTGCAAGAGCTCGTATTGTCTTCTCAGTGTTTGTAACCTTACTTTCTTAATCTTCTCCCCTCCGGCATGGCAACATACCAAGATATTCCACGCTTCCCTCGCTGTATTCGCATTTTGGATTTTTTCAAAATGTGTGTCGTCCACGCATTGATGGATGATCAACAGGGATTTATCATCTTTCTTTCTGTGCACCTCCTTCTGGTCCTCTGTGCCATGGAAATCAACCGCAAAATCCCCTCCTTCAACCACACTACTGACATCTTGTACGCGAAACAAAACCTGCATCTGTGTGCTCCACCTGCTCCAATTTTTGTCTGTGAGAATGAGGAGATTTGTCGTAGAAAAATCAGCCATGATCCTCCTTCTTTTCTGTTCAAAGAACTTCTTTCTTTGATCTTTCAAACTTGCTTGGGCAGCCGCACTGTATCCAAACAGATACACGATTCTCCTTAGGCCCTCCCTCGACCAAGGCTCTTGATACCATTGATAGCAGAAAAGATGATGCAGAGGAAAAAATACTGATATAGAAAAGAGATATTGTAGAGAAGATTTAACAGAGATTGTGTAAAGTAACATAATGGAAAAACTATATCAGAGAAAGAAATACAATTGTTTATATACAAAGGTAAATGAAAGTTTAACAGTAATAACGGTATTAACTGTAAATATGAAAACATTACAGCTTGAATTACAACACTAATAAATAATAGGGTACAAAAGAGTCTCCAATAATAATACTAAATGGTATTTTCAATAAGCCAATTTAACTAACCACAAAGTTTTACAAATGAGAACAAAGAAGATGAAAATTCTCCAAAATAGGGCTATTGGTGCGACACTGATTTCTCCCAAGATTGATCTCTGATTGACGATCTGAACGGTCAGAATGAAGAACCATATGTTTGGAACTCACTGTCCAAAAATCAGCCCGATCAAACAGTGAACTACTTCACAGCGATAAAAACACCAGTGCAGGTTTAGGGTTATGCGAGAAAGGCTTTCTCTCTTTCTTTTTCTCTCACTTGGCTTTTGCCTCTCTTCCAATGAATCTAATGTGCCCTACTAATCTGACCCATCTCTATTTAACATAGTGAGACACAATGCTCCACATTATTTGGGCCTATTTTCCACATAAGAAGAGAGCCCAATAACCCAACAAATCTCCCCCTCACGACTATGTGGAGATATCCGCCAAACCGGCGATCTCACAACAAACTTCAAACTTTCCTCTTGGTAATGCCTTGGTCATCATATCAACACCATGATCATCTGTATGAACTTTAGCTAGTTCCAACAGCTTAACATCCAAAACATCACGTATTCAATGATACCTCACATCAATATGTTTAGATTTAGAATGAAAAGTTGGATTCTAACCAAGATGAATAACACTTTGACTGTGACAATACAACAAGTATTTCCCTTGCACAAAACCAAGCTGCTGCAAGAATTTCTTCACCCATAACAACTCCTTACATGCTTCAGTAAGTGCAACGAATTCTGCCTTAGTAGTAGACAACGCTACACATTTTTGCAACTTTGATCGCCAAGCTAAGGTTCCCCCTACAAACTGAATCAAATAGACTGAAGTAGACTTTCTAAAATCAATGTCTCCAACCATATCTGAATCTGAGTAACCCACCAAAGTAGGCTTATCACCTCCAAAATAAAGCCTCAAACCACTAGTACCATAAAGATACCTCAAAATCCATTTCACAGCATTCGAATGCTCTCTACCTGGATTTGACAGTAATATACTGATTGTACCAACAACATGTGCAATATCAGGCCTTGTACATATCCTTGCATACATCAAATTACCCACCGCAGAAGCATAAGGACCTTTGCTCATATCTATCTTCTCAGCGTCATTTGAAGGACTTTGTTTAACACTCAACTTAAAATGAGTAGCAAGAGGAATACTTACAACTTTAACATTTTCCATTAAGAATCTTTGCAACACCTTCTGAATGTAGTGCTCCTGTGATAGCAAAAGTTTCTTCTCCTTTCTATCACGAGTGATATTTATACCAAGAATCTTCTTAGTAGTGCCCATGTCTTTCATGGCAAATGACTCGCCCAGTTGCTTCTTCAACTTGTCAATTTTGGATGCATCTTTTC